GCCAGGACCTTTAGCTAGCAAAACCAATGATGAGAGACTACAGAATACTGTGGGCCCTTAGTAACCGCTGGGATTTGATTCCAGGACCCTGTATTGTGTGCTTTCAAGTCATTTTTGACTTATGGTGACCTCTATCATGGGGTTTCCTTGGCAGGATGTGTTAAGAGGAGGTCTTGCCATTATTGCCTTCCACTGAGGTCAAGCGAGAGTGACTTGCCCAAAGTCACCCAGTGGGTTTCATGGCCGAATGGGGATTTGAACCCTTGTTCTCCAAAGTCATAATTAAACCATAGCTCAAACCACTATACCATGCTGGCCCATTGTGGATACCAAAAATCTATATCCCTTATATACAGTGTAATCAAGTCCCATTATATACAGTGGCATAATAAAACTGTGCCCCTGTTATAAAATGGCAAAATCAAGGTTTGCTTTTGGGATTTTTTTGGTGGAGTGGGGGAATATTTTCAAGATGTGAATTCACATCTTGTGAATGTGAATGACTATGGAGGGCCAACTGTAGTAGTCCAAAAATCATTTCCCAAATCTAGCATTATAAATGACATTATTGAAAACCCAAAAAGGGAATATTTTATTCCCCCAGGACTCTGTCTCTGACTTCAAGATATAACGTACATTCTTCACCAAAGGTACTTCAGAGACAGATTTCACTGATTAACATGGGAACAAGAATTTATTAATTGGTTCACTGTCTCTATCTCGTGGTCATCGCAATACTTGTTGGGGATGAGGGCTGTGTTGCAATTATGCATCTAAAATAATTGTTCTGGAACTATTTTGTTAAAAAGAGAGAAGGAAGAGTCTGAGCAGGCCTTGGATTTCTGTTCAAAAGTCCAAATGGAAATATCTGTTCTCTGTTAACAGAAATGTAAAAGATCACATTAACTCTCCCATCCTAATATTCATATTTTAATTTTGAAGCATTGGAAATGTTAGTGCTCCCTCCCTGTATTGGTATAATTTGTCTCAAAGAAGGGGAGTTATGAAAATGTAAAAGACGAATGAGAGGGGAAAAAAGCTGTCCAAGTAACAAATTCTTACTCATTCTTCCTTTGACACTGAGTGTGTTAACTTTGTTTTTCTGACTCTCTTGAGCTTTAATGAGGGCAGTCTTAGTAACTCTGTTTAGTAATTCCACTGGAATTCTTCTGGAATTCTGCATTCCTACAGCTGCAGTTATGGGGAAACCTCATACTATGGCAAGAAGAAAAGATCAGAATTGCTCAGTTTTGGGATATGCTATTGTAACACTCTCTATAATATGACCACATTGGAGTCTCCCAGAACTATTTTCCCATCTATGTGGGCTAGAGCAGCACCACACTATGTGTTATGTAATATTCAGTTTTCCTGCAGTTAAGTCTCCCTGCTTTTGTTCAGCCCTGTAAATAAATAAATAAATAAATAATTATTCAAATAGAATTTTGGAGCTGCAAGGGCCAACTAGGGCCCTTGCTATGCAGTCCTGAGAGGTGCCTTCCAGCTTTTATTTAAAGAGCTCCAAAGATGGAGCAACATCAGCCTTCATGGAATCTCTTTTTGTAAATTGAATCCTTTGGTTCTCATTGTAGTCTCAAGGATATTAGAAAACAAGCTTGTTTCATCTTCTATATGCAGTCCCTTCAGATATTTAAAGATAGCTGTCAGCTGTCACTGTTCTCTTCTCCAAACTTAACCTACCCAGCTCCCTAAGCCACTCCTCATAGGGCATGGCTTGTAAAGCTTGATTTTCTTGGTTGTCCTTCTATGGTTGTTGTTGTTGTGTACTTTCATGTTGTTTCCAACTTATCACAACCCTAAAGCAAACCTATCAAGGGGTTAGAATCACAGGATCATAGAGCTAGAAGAGACCAAGGGCCATCAAGTCCAACTCTCTGCCATGCACCAACACACAATCAAAGCCCCCACAACAGATGTCTATATAGCCTCTGTTCAAAAACTTCCAAAGTAGGAGAATCCACCACACTCTAAGAGTATTCTACTGTTGAACATCCCTTATTGTCAGGATGCTCTTCCTAATGTTGAGTTGAAAATCTCATTTCCTGTAGTTTGCATCCACTGCCCCATGTCCTAGTTTCTGGAGCTGCAGAAAACAAGCTTGCTCTGTCCTCAATATGACATACCTTCAAAAATTTAAACAGGGCTCCTGTTTAAACATACCTAGCTCCCTAAGTCTTTCTTCATAAGGCACGGATTCCAGACCTTTCACCATATTGGTCACCCTCCTCTGGACACTCTTCAGCTTGTCAACATACTTTTTGAATTGTGGTGCCCAGAACTGGATGCAGTATTCCAAATAAGGTCTGACCAAAGCAGAATAGTTTGGTGTCCTGTGGACACACTATAGTGTGTCCATATCCTTTTTGAATTGTGGTGTCCAGCACTGGGCATGGTATTCCATGTGAAAGTCATATTATAACTTCCCTTGATCTTGTCCAGGAAAGTGGCCAAGTATGCTGATAGCCGTAGTCACAAAACAAAACAGTGTGCATAGCTAAGGCAGTCAAGAGTTCTGTGCACACAAAGTCATAAAGCAAAAGTCTTGTTGCAACAAACCAAGGGTATAACTAGGCAAAGTCCAGGGTTCCAGAGAGAGAGACGAGTCGTGTAGGCAATCCAAGGTCAAGGAGTCCCCAGAGAGACAAAGCAAACCAGCAATCCAAGTGTCCAGGTTTCCAGCCAAGAAGACAAGGAGAGTCAGGAACAAGTGTGCTTTCACAAGGAAGCTCAGATAATCTCTGACAACTATGCTGGCATCCGGCACCTGTTTAAATTAACAGACCACAGGTGCTCAGCTGTTGTTCATAGCTCGGTGTTTTTCATTAAGCCTCCTTGAGTGCTGGAGGCCCTCCTTTTCTGCTCAATGCTGGCTGAAAGTAGGTACTGTGTCCTCCATGCCTGAAGGCTGTGCTGCCAGAAGGCTTAGCTGCTGGGCTTCCTGGGAAGCCACAGATTCTGCTGGAGCTGGCAGAGGCATATTAGAGCCAGGCTCAGGGTCAGGCTCAACTGCAGCTTCAGACACAGGTCCCATTTGAGGCTCTGGCTCAGCCTCCTCGTCCTCCAGCTAACTGGGCATGACAGATCTAGACACTACATTCCTATTGATGCAGCCTAGAATCTCATTGGCTTTTTTAGCTGCTGCATCACTGTTAACTCATGTTCAACTTGTGATTTACCAGAACTTATAGATCCCTTCCACATGTACTTTGTAAAGCCAGATGTCTCCCATCCTATAACTGTGCATCTCAGTTTTTTTCTACCTAAGTATAATACCTTACATTTCTCCCTGCTGAAATTTATTTTGTTAGGTTTTGGCCAGCTTTCAAATCTATTAAGATCATTTTGAATTCTGATCCTGTCCTCTGGGGTATTAGCTACTCCTCCTAATTTGGAGTCACCTCCAAATTTGATAAGCATGCCCTCTATTCTTTCATCCAAGTCATTGCTAAAGATGCTGAATAGCACTGGGCTGAGAATGATCCCACTGGTCATTTGTCTCCAAGATGAAGAAATGCCATTGATGAGCACTTTTTGGCTTCAGCTTGTCAACCAATTACAAATCTACCTAACAGTTGTATTGTCTAGCCCACATTTTCTTAGCTTGTTTGCCAGAATATCATGGGAGACCTTGTTGAAGGCCTTACTGAAATCAAAATATGTTACATCCATGGCCTTCCTTTCATCTACCAAGCTGGTAATTTTATCTAAAGAAAAATAAAATAAAATAAAAGAAAAGAAAAGAAAAGAAAAAGATATTAGATTAGTCTGGCATGATTTGTTTTTGAGAAACATGTTGACTTTTTGTGATGATGGCATTTTTTTCTAAACGCTTACAGAATCTCTGTTTAATGAGCTGCTCTAGAATCTTTCCTAGTATTGATGTCAGACTAACTGGTTGGTAATTGTTGGGATCCTCTTTTCCCTTTTTGATGATGGGGATAACATTGGTCCTCCTCCAGTCTGCTGGTACTTCTCCTGATCTCCAGGAATTCCCAAAGACTATTGCCAGTGATTCTGAGATTACTTTGGCGAGTTCTTTTAATACCCTTGGATGTACAGTTGTCTCTCCTCATTCTCAGACTTTGAGTCTGTGGTCTCGCTCTTCATGGGACAAGTGGGGAGGGATAAAGTGATGGTGCGCACCTGCACGCCATTATTTTCAATGTGGCTCAAATATTTGCAAGCTGCCATTTTTGCGGGTATGTGTGTCTAGAATGGATCCCCCAAGAATTGGGAAGGGTACTGTAGTCCATCTGACTCTGGAGTTGGATTCATTTAGATTAATCAGGTATTCCTCTACTGTGTCCTCCTCTCCATTTTTATCAGGTTGAGCACCCTTTTCCTTTTCTGAAAAGATTGAGGCAAAGGTGTTGAGTAGTTCTGCCTTTTCTCTGTCCCGTTAGCATTTTGCCATCTTCTCCATGCAGTGGCCCTACCATTTTCTTCTTCTTCCTTTTGCTACAGACATCCCCCCCAGCCCTTTTTCCTGTTCTTAACCTCTCTAGCAATCCTGAGTTCATTCTGTGCTTTAGCTTTTCTGACTTTCTCCCTACACGTGCTAGCTGTTTGTTTGAATTCCTCTTCTGTGATTTCCCCTTTTCCCATTTCTTATACATTTCCTGTTTAAAACTTAGTTTAGTTGAAAGTTTTTTTAATCATCAATGCTTGTTTCTTGAGATACCTCCCATTTTTCTTCCCCACTGGAACTGTTTGAAATTGTGTCTTCAATATCTTCCTTTTGAGAAACTCTCATCTGTCCTGAACTCACTTCTCTTTTTAGTATTCCTGACCACGGAATCACCCCCAGTATTTTCCTAAATTTACTGAAATCAGCTTTCTTAAAGTCTAAAATGTGTGGCTCTCCCTTTCCATTGTATAACAAATTCCAATCTTGGCATGTTTTATTGAGAGGAGCTTTGCCATAGCCTTCCCCTGAGGCTGAGAGCATGTGACTTGCCCAAAGTACCCAGTGGGTTTCATGGCCAAGCAGGGAATTGAACCCTGATCTACAGACTCCTAGTCCTAGTCCAAACCTCAAACCACTCCGCCATATCTGGACACATCCTCTTGTCAATATCCTTCTTGAACTGTGGTGTCTCAAACTAGACACAGAATTACAGGGGAAAGTGTGAATGATGCAAATATGCAAGTTCATGTGTGTGTGTGTGCACGTGCATATGCGTGCACCCACACATTTCATCTTCCCACACTCATATGTGTGCACATAATGCAAGGGATAAAGACCTTTCCATGCAAAACTTGTGCGTTGTCATCAAACTATGATTCAGTGATGTAAGTTTCTGCAAAACCAGTCATATTAAAGATCTGTGCCACTTTAAAGACACAGAATCTAAAGGTGTACCTCTGCTTGACCCTGATGCTTTTGTCAGAATCAACACTCTCTGCCTCCTACACACAACCCCTTCCAAACCTATTTTGGAAGGCTGAGAATCCTAGTGGACAGATTTTTAGGCCACATGTGATGGGCTGCAAGCTGTAATAGATTTGCTGTTCTTTTAAGATGCTGCAGGATTCATGGCTGGTTTTGCTATCTGCTTCAAGTTGTAGTATATGAAATGTATTAAATGTTTTTATCTGTTGCATAATTAGTTATAATGGGAGTTGTAATCCAACAACATCTGGAGGGATGAGAATTTATCCCCACCTCTGAGTTAAAAAATCTCAGGTGGCATCCTTTGGGGAGACCCGCTGTGCCAGCCCTGGAGAGAGCTATTTTCAGTCTAAGCAAATTGGCAGAAATTGGACACACAGTAATGATCCATTTCAAGTTGAATCCCAGTTACAGGGATGTACAGTTGTCCCCCCCTGTTTGCGGACTTGGAGTCCGTGGTCTCACTCTTCATGGGGAGGGACAAGGGCTATATTTTAAATGGCCTTGCATAATAATAATAATAATAATAATAATGAATTTTATTTATAACCCGCCCCTCTGCATAGCAATCGGGGCGGCTTACAACAATTAAAATACAATAGTTAAAAAACGATCCAATATCCCGTGTGGGTGACTCCGTGTGCACCATTACTTTAAATGGGGCTCAAATATTTGTGAGCTGCCATTTTTGGGGGGATGGGCAGGTGGGTCCGGAATGGATCCCCTGCGAATTGAGAGGGGTGACTGTGTTTTCTTTTTTGAATACTGGTTTCATAACCTTTAACCAAGTAGCCAGCATGGTTTGGGTATTGGATTAGGACTCCAGGAGACCAGGGTTTGAATCCCTGCTCAGTGGAAACCCACTAAATGCCCATGGGCAAGTCACATGCTCTCAGCCCCAGAGGAAGGCAGTGTCAAACTCTTGCCAAGAACCAGAATTCCTTGGGAGAGGGTCGCCAGAAATCAAGAGTTGATTTCAAGGTACAGAACAAAAACAAACCAAAGTATCAGGGAACTGTGTTTGCCATAATGCACTCGTCACTCCACATTTGCAGCTTTGACTTTTGCGGATTTGATTATTCATGGATTTGATATGTTCTTTCTGGGAATATCTAGGTCCTCCAACACAACTCTATTGTAACCATTAACTAAAAGTCACACTGAAGGACCTAGAGATTCCTAGAGAGGACACTCCACAAGGCATTTGTAGCTCCTCCAGCACAATTCTAGGGTCAATGTCTGGCAGATGGGTGTTGACCACAGAGCCACACCAAAGGACCTAGAGCAGGGGTAGGCAACCGGATGTGGCCCCCCGAGGCCTTTGGACCGGCCCCAGGCCGGTCCTG